TTGGTTACATTTCGAGTAGTTAACCCATACCATTGTACACTATGCCATTGTAGCTACACTGCTAGCTAGTTCATTTCCAAGTGACTTGGTGTGTATAAACAGCAGTGAAACAGTGTGAACATATCCCAGATATTTTACTTTAACCTCCTTTGACTGGCAATTGACACTGTACTATATATATATACATCATTGCCTCCTGACTTCTTTTCTCCCACGAAAGCTGTGTGCATTTATGGTGAATGTGTAAGTGTATCTCTCTAATCCTCCTTCCTCATAGTTTAGAACTCAGTAGCCAGTTTCAGGGTTTTTTTAGGGATAATATAATTAGACTCTACAAATTTTGTGTAAATAAATAGCCAGCTTTTGGAAGGAGACCCTTCCATAGTTTTCAGACGTATCCTGACTGGGGAAAAAAAAAAATCAGCTCAGGTGAAGACAGTAGCAAGTTCATAGTGTGTACAGATGATTTCACTGAGTTCAGAAATGTGTGAAATGTTTCAGTTTGAACTTAAAACTATGTACAACACACTGGTCTGTGAGAAGGCAGATTTTATTAGTTCCATCTATCCCGAAATGACTTGATTTTTAAAGAGATTCCTGATTACTGAGAAGTCAGAATTAATGAGGAAATAGTCTAAATAAATGTTTTTCTAATATGCAAAATATTTTGCTGAATATCTCTTTGCCAAAAAAAAAAAGCCCACAACATCTATTACTTTTTTCACCTGTCATATATTAGTTTTAATCATTTTCAGAACTTTAGTACATTTTGGTACAAAGACTGGAAAAATTAGACTAGCCTTTACAAAACTACTGCCATTAAGTTGAGTGGATTCAGGTGGTGAATTTCTGTTTGTGAGAACTCCATGTTTCACTATACTTCTTTTTTGCCTAGCTCTTAAAGCTGTGTGGTGATTTATAGATACAGTGCTCAACTATTTTTCTCCGGAGCTTTATGTGCTGTTCACAGTGTGCATTCCTCTTTGGTTTCTGAGGCCAAAATATGATTCCTTTTGTGTGTGGTTATGTATCCTTCTGAGGAATTTTAGCACCAACACATGTACTTTCAGTCCAACCTGAGTATCTGCCACAATCTCACTCTAGAGTAATATGAATGTCTTTGAACTTAGGATATGAAGCAATGTAGTATAGAATTGTGCTTCCACGGCACAAATTTCCTTTCATCCCCAAGGCCTTTCTATGTGTTTCTCTCACCTTTTTTTTCTCCTTAGGCTTTTTTTTTTTTAAATACTGTTTCATAGATACTTCTCAGGAAAGGAGCACTCTTCTGCTCCCTGACAAATGTATTTTTCAGGCATTGTCTTTTTACAAACTGAGAACAAACAAAATCTGCATGGTCTGTCACAGGCATCCATACCACATAATTAAACTTAACTCCACTAGGTCTCCACTATCTTCTAGAGAATGATGATAAAAACAAGCAGAAAACTGATCGGCACTTTTATGTCAAATGCTCACATTAAAACATTAAAACTCAGTGACCAACTTACCTCCAGGGGAAGAAGGAGAGGGAAAAAAAAAAAAAAGGAAGACCTGAGTTAATAAGCATGAGTTATAATTCCAGGAAAAGCTAAGGGGAATTTTAAGAGGTCACAATTAGTTACATAGGAGAACTCTAAGGGCTGAGATGCATTGTAGAATCCATTCATTTAAGTACTTGGACTTTAGCAGAGGAATCCACAGTTCCATGATCAGTTATCTAGTAATTATTATTTAGTTATTATTTAGTTATTACTCCCCTTATGTCTTAGGAAAAAAAAATGTAATTCTGTTGCATGCAGCTACAGATCCTTTCTGCAGCATCATGCACCCCATCAGTTTATCTGTGGCAGACCTTTGGATCAGTCCCACTATAGCTAGAATAAATAGGGTCAATAGGCAAGTGTGAAGAGAAATACAGCACTGTTTTTCATTACTGAGAACCTGAAAACAAATCTACTTTTTTACGCTGTCCTGTCTTATCTCTGCATTCCTGGCAGTGTTTACAATTTGTGGGAGATGAACAGCAACATTTTACAAACCAGCAAACAACCAAGTGTCGCATGGGTTGTAAATAGCTTTAGGTAGGACAACGTACCTTTTCACTTGGGACAGTACATGCATTAAAATGTACTTTTTTAGTGGAAGCCTATAGGGGATTCAGAGTGGTTTTAGTGACATCAAAAATAAATAATTAAATAAAGTGCAATGAGACATTTTCTTTCCTGCTTTCTGATTTCTAAATGTGATACTGGTGTTTCAGAGGTGGGTCCAAACACATCAGCGGTATCAGTTTCCTTTCTGAGAGATATTCCATGCTGGAATTTAAATTTAAATGATCCAGAGTGCAGAAAAAAACACATAGATGTATTCAGCATTTGCCAGACGGATGGCACCTGCACCCCCATGTATATAACACTTATTTCATTTAAAATCATTTTTTCTAATATGGTATTTACTTCCTATAAGGAGCCCGTGAAGTCACATAAGATGCTCCCGACTGCTCTCTCCGCGGCCCGGCAGAACCGCGTTGCTCTGCGGGGGCGCTCGCGATGGGCGTGGGGTGGCCGTTGCGCAGGCCCGCGACCGTTACAGGCTGCGGCGCCATGTTGGCTCCCGCGCACCCAACGGCCGCCGCAGTCCCGGCAG